GATGGCGATTGGGTGCGGATTTGTAACAGTTTTGGCCACTGGTCACCTCCACAACGTTCCACGACCGGTCCCACGGGTAGACACGAGTGTCACGGGCGAGTTTGCTCGGACGCGTGACGACCTTGCCCAGCTGGCGAGGTCAGACCGAGACGACCGCAGGAGCGATGGTCGACGGTGACAAGCAACGGCGGCTAGTGCGCGATGTTAGCGCTTTGATGGTTGACGGCGAGACGACTCTAGCGACAGACTTGCAGCGGATACCGTTGGACTCGAAGCGAGAGAATCGAGATTTAGCGCATGCGGAATGGATGGTGATCGCTATACGGACAAGCGACCCGGCCGATGTGGGTTTACCGCGGGACGAAAAGGCGAGAGCTATCGGACCGCTGCGATCCTTGACAATCGGTAATTTTCGTCCTGGCGTCGTCCCTTCAGCCGCGTCTTTGTCCTGCAATGACCGTCGCCACGAAGTCGCACGCCACCGGGCCCTGAAACGTTCATAGTTTCCTCGGGCCCGGAGCCGCTGACGTCCGTGTTCCTAGCGCATAAATCTCTATACTACTTACCCCGTGCCAAAGTGTCCGCCACTGCCATCGTAACGAGTCGCCATCGCCGTCGTCATCATCGTCGGTACGGTCGGGGCGGAATCGTTGCCCTCGCCGTTACCTCAACTAACCTCCGTGCCGTCGACATCGTTCCACGCGACCGTAACTGCCGGGCGCTCGCCGAGCCGCCAGAGGGTCTCGCGCGTCAACGACGACCGAGCGCGCTACGCTCGTGAACCCGTCGCTACGTGGGTGGTCGGGAAACGCGTTCGGGTGACTTACCGCCGTGCACCTTCCGGGCTCTTTCCCGTATCCTCCCCTCCTATTCGTCGCCGTCTTCCTGACAACATCATCGGCCCTTAGGGGACCGCCAGACTAACGTGGGTCGCGGACGGTTTCTCTTCGCCAGCAACACAGACGTCGGAAAATCCGCCTGACGCCTTTCCAGCACGAGGTCTTGTACCTTCGTGGCTGGTCGGATTTTCCGGTTGTTGCTGRYGGGTCCAGCCTACCTACGACCTCACCGCTGTCTGGCTCTTCAATGCCCTGAGCCGGCTCAATTCCGTTTTCAGCTTCACACGTCTTCTCTGCATCGTCGAGTGGGCCGTCATTGGGAATCGGAGTGGTTTCGACGGGCCCCGACTCGAAGAACGGCGCGTCGCCACTCGACCATGCACTACTGCCTAC